TTTCAACAGCGAAGACATTTTTTTAAAGGGCCCTCCGAATTATTGGTGCTCCGCCAGCTGCAAAGTACCTATTATATTATGATGGTTTCAATTTGATCCACCAAGATCAATCGGTTCCGAATCAGGCTCTTTTAGCAAATTTTGTGGCGAACTAATTCTGCACTGGCTCTTTGAAGTTTATATGGGAATTACTATAAGAAAAGAGTACTTTTTGTCCTCATCGTTTCTGCACTACACCATAATGATTTACGGAAAAGTTGCCCAAAAGGTCCCCTCCCCTTACGTGAAATTTTCCCAGCTACAACTTTGTTCGATACCACTGTTTAATTGAATGTCTAGAAAATTAGTTATTGATTTATTTCTAAGTTGATAACTTTCTGGTAGGACTAATCGGCTGCTTTCAGGGCAACACTGCATCTTGCTCTTATGACATAATAGCCTGGATTGTTTTTCCTATTATTCCAACGTTGTCTGCTGAGTAGTAAATGGAGCATGTCAGAAGAACATCATCTTCCTAATCAATTAATAACTAATTATCTTAACGTTCAATTTTTCAATTCCCACATAAACTTCAAAGGGCCAAGCTCACATCCTAATGAGATCAAATTTTGTGAGAATGATCAGGAGCTGATTTTAAATCATTTCTCGATAACTTTTTCAAAGGGACGTATCAGCTTTTGTAAACAATGCATTTGATCGTCTATTTGGCATAACTGGTAGCTCGCCCACGCATGATAACACTACCATTAGATAGAGGACATTTTCCCCTACCTGCTAGTGGTGTTAGTAAGCGAGTGCGAGCTACCCGTTACGCCAAATCGACGATCAAATGCATTGTTTACAAAAGCTGATAGATCCCTTTGAAGAAGTTATCGAGATTTGAACTTGGTCGAGCATGAACCATGAAAACTCCATGCACATGGATCGGTAACAAATAACCCCGCCGGTAATTGATGTGTAATCGTTTAACTCATCTTCCGCTTCAAATACTTCTATAGAACCACAATCTCTCAACCCTCAAAAACTGAATACCATCTGGTTCACATCAATCAGCTGTACCAGCAACACTAGAGTGTGACAGGACTACTCGATCAACAGTTCTACGTTGTTTTCTTTATCACCAACCAGCCTCTTTTAGCATGCACGCAGTACGTAGGTACGCTGCCGATCTCCCTGGAGCTCGCCGAGCTTAGCTCATGAGACACAGCACATGTGACACGAATGAGACACGTAGGAATAAAAAAGAGACGCGAAATAATTCGTCTCGAAATGTACCAGGCACCTACGATCTGATTGAAAGCGTGTCTCTATCACGCGGGATGGATGCACGTGTACATTAACTCTGAAATTACTATTCCTTCACTCTTTCTTTATACAGTTAGGGGAAGGAGAGGCATAGTGAACAGGTGGAGCATAGTGAGCTTCCTGTGTTTTAGCCTTGGATTTCTTATGGTTTGAAACAAATTATTTGGTCAATGATCATTGCAATAGTGATATTGAACTTACTACCAAGTAATTTGATTTGAACAATTCAAGATCAACAATTGAAATGGCCTTAACTCCATTTTGTAAACAAACCTTGTAAGGTCATTTTCTCGCGAACCGAAGTCCGCAAAGGCAAACCAACATAATGAACAGGTAGGGGAAATTCTCCTCTACCCAATTGTGGTTAAGGTTTGCGAATGAAGGTTTCGGTTCGCGAGAAAATGGCCTTACAAGGTTTGTTTACAAAATGGAGTTGAGGCCATTTCAATTGTTGGTCTTGAATTACAAGTTTGGAACACCTGTTCACTATGCCCCTCTTACCCCCTTTCCAGTCAGTATAGCCTTTGCGTTGCTAGCGAGTAAAAGCATTACATTATTGCGTGATTAATTGGGGACTTCCAGGGCTGGTAGCCATCACTGCTGTCAAAAATAGTGATTTTAGTGACCATGTTGAAGAAATAAGTGACTAAATTGTGACTGATAGTTGCAAAAATAGTGACTAAAAGTGACCCTTCTTCTTCTTCTTCTTCTTCTTCTTCGCATTTCAAGCTTATTGCTTATCGCATATTAGCTTATTGCGTGCTCTCAACTTAGTGTTCTAGATGCACTTCCACTTCCAGTTATTAATTGAGAGCTTTCGATGCCTGTACCATTTTTGCATTGGTATAATTGTGTGGCAAGTCCAATCATACTTCTATGCCCAGGGAAGTCGAGAAATTTTCCAATCCGAAAAATTCCTAGACCGAACCGGGAATTGAACCCAGCCACCTCCAGCATGGTCTTGCTTTGTAGCTGCGCCTTTACCGACTGAGCTAAGGGAGGCCCCAAAAGTGACCCTGAATTGAATTAAAAATAAATTTTATTGAAAACTCTTAGGAATTTCTGGGGAGCACAACTCCTGTGAACTTCAAAGGAAAATTCCAAGGGCATTCTGAGAATAATTTCATAAAAAGTGTGGGAGCATTCGGACATTCGGAGCATAAGTCCTTGGAATTTTTTTGAAATACTAAAAGAAGGATTACAATCAAATCTGAGAATAACTTCAGGACATCTTCAAAGGAATTTGGAAAATAAATTCAGGAGAGTTTTCCAAACAAATTATGAGAAGAAATCTAAGGAAATTGTGAGTAGATATGCCAATGAATTCTTAGGAGACTTTCAATGTGAGTAGAATTCTTAGGGAGATTCAAAAGGAAATCTGAAATGAATTCAATGAATATTCTGATAATCTTTCCAAAGGGCGTCTTATTGTGGAGAATTTCAAGGTAATTCCGATAAAAACTGAAAGAAGATTCATCGAAATTTCCGTTGAATATGAAATGGACTATTCTGAGAACTTCCCAATTTTTTCCTATGAAGTTCTCGAAATGTTTCTAGATACCACTGTCCTTCTGTGAAGTTTTCGAAGTTTTTCTAAATTTCTCCCGCTCCCGCAATTTTCATGGAATTAGAATGAAATAATTAGTATAGTTTTATGATTTTCACTTAATTTCTCATGATTTTTTTGAAGTTCATTAAACTTCTATTAAATTATCGACACTAATTTAAAACTTCCTCAATAGTCTAGACATTCCGGGTGTTATTAAAAATGCCTAAACGAATTTAATTAAAGTTCTCTAGGTTGCTCTGAATTTATCAGTATTTTTTAACAACCCGCAACTTTACTGAAATTAATTGATTTGCCTTGAAGTTTTTACAATTTTCCTTAAGTACTCTAACCATTAAAAACGCTCACTTATTTTCCCTGAACTATGCTTACCTGAAGTTCTCTAAATTTGTTTGTCCGGCAAATTTTCTGATATATATTATATATGTATTTAAAATTCCCTGACGTTTTTAGATCAATCATAGAATTCTTGGAATACCCCTTAATTCCTTGTAAGTCGCTGCAAATTTGCTTAAGTTAATGGGATTATTCTGAAGCTATTTGATCGTCCTCGAAGTACTCGGAACTTCGCTGAATATCATGAAACTATCAAAATTCTTAGTTCTCTGGAATTTCTTGAAGATATTTATCGCTGCTTGCTAAAAGTTCTCGCATTTTTTTTTTAAATGAATGGAACTTCGTTGATATTCTCTAATCAACTTAGCTAAACTTTCGTAGTTCTTGATATTTCCATGATATAACACCCTTATAATACTCTCACGTTTCCGGATGTTCATATAATTATTATCACATTCCAGAAGTTCTATCGGAGCTTTGCTGAAGTTTCCGGAACTTCTTTAAGGTTTCTACAATTTTCTTTAAATTATTTGAACTGCCCTTGATTCTCTGATTTGTCTTGATGATCTCGAAGCTTCCCTAAAGCTCTAAATTCTATTGAAGATAAATTTCCCTGAAATTCTTTGGACTTCTGTGAAGTTCCTGAAATATTTATGAAGTTTTCATAAATTATCTGATGGTCTCTGTACTTCCCTGAAATTCTCGGAACATCTTAAGGGTTCTAAATTTTCCTAAATTTACGATTATAGATTTTCTCTAGATCTCTAGATCTAGCTTTTCTGAGGTGCTTAGAATTTTTTAAATTTTCACAATACCCCTCAAGGTTTCTATATTTCTCAAGTTTGCTTAACACCTGTGATGTGCTCTGAAATTGTAGGAACTTCATAAAAGTTTCTGAAAATTTTAGAATGTTAAAAGAACCGGTTTGAGGATCTTAAAGCTTTCAGTAAGTTCCCCATAATTTCAGTGTGTTAACTTCCCTTATGTTCCCGCAGTTTGATTATGGAGCTTTACTGAAATTCTCAGAATTTCCTTTCATTCCTCAGAAATTCTTCAAAGTTTCTACAATTGTTGTGAAGTTAATGGGACTGCAATGCAGCATATTTTGAACACATTTAAAAAAAAGCTTTCTTATTATAAGCCTTGAATTTATCCGTTAAAGTTCTGGGAAAACCTGGAAAACCCAGGAAATTTTATTTAGAAAAATGAGTAGACAGCCTGTAGATAGAGAAAGACGATTAAACGTCACAAAGCAAATAATGATCAATATTGAAATAAATTCACGCTAAAAAAGTTGAAAATAGTGACTGATTACAAGAAAAAGTGACTTTAGTGACTTTACCTTAAAAAAGAGACTTTTTAGTGACTGGCTTGAAAAAAGTGACCAAGTCACTAAAAAGTGACTCACTACCAGTCCTGGACTTCGGAATATATTATAAACTTGAAATAAGCCACAATCTTCTTAAGTCAAATGCGGAACACATTTGAAACCATGCAAAGATCTCATATGTAGAGCAGGTAATCTTAGTGAGTGTTTATCCATCCATGCTGTTGCTTCACTAAACTCATCCATAGCTCGATCAGCTTCCAAACGGCTTCCGACAACATAGGGGTACACATATCATACTTCGAAACAAAAAGTTGCCCTTTGATTACAACATCCAACTAAACACAAAAGATAGCAACAACAACCAAACACGCATACAATTGCATTATCGTTCAATGTTTTTAAGGCAGACCTCTAGCTGCCACTTCTGGGAGGGATGGCTAAGTCACTGCGCAGGGTTCTTACCCGATTGACGAGGCGGTGGCTCCTCCACCGCCGCCGCTGCTGCCACCACTCTGCTGATGGTGCAACTGACCATGGCCATGGTGGTGACCGTCGTGCGGGGTCAACGGAGGCACCGGCGAGCCACCCGAATCTTCCGAGGGAGTCTTGGACAAGAACAAATTGCCGCCCAGCTCCGAGACCAATGTTATGGGCGAGCTGCGTGGTTTTGCAGCAATTTTTAAGTGTCCGAAGCGGAGAAAACGAAAAGTGCAAAACGTTTTCAATAAGAGGTAGAAAATGTTTGTTTTATTTGGCATTAAACGAACAAAATAATGGAAAAAATTTGGACCGAAATTATGGAACAGAAAAAAAAGGGATGGTTGAGTTGAGTTCGTGCGAGTGTGCTTGATTGTCAAATCAAGTTCTGAGTGTTTCTGAGTTGATTTTCCTGTATTGATCACAACCCAACTGTGATTGCGAAGAATCGGTGTAAATGTACAAAAATCGAGTGGTGTAGGTGCATAGAATCAAAATCAGATGTAGTATTGTTAAAGTCAACCAAAGACTTGAAGTGCAAAATGGGATTTGAGAACAAAAACGCTTTCATCAAAACCGAGAATCCTGAAAACTGTCGGAAGAAAATTTACTACTAGAACACATTACCTCGAAAAAACTTTGGAAAATACGCTTTGATTGGAGTCTCCGGTGTTGGGAGCGGATTCCATTGAGTCCGATTTGTGAGTGGTGCTGCCGCCTTCTCCGGTCAAGCCTTCCACCCAGGCCAGCGGATAGGACAGTCGTTTCAACATCTACAATAAAAAAAAAGCTTCATGAATGAACTCCGATGGATTTAGCTAGCGTTTCCACTCACCTTATTCTTTTTCGTTTCTCCGCCCTTGTCCACCTGGGTCGTCCCATGGGGATCGTGTTCCTCGACGCTGAAACTGACGCTGGAGGTTTTCTTCCGGCCGGCGGCATCCGCTTGCGTTGTGGACAGGGAGCTGTGCTGCGAAGATGTGGATGAGGAGTTTCTTGGAGAACTGTCGACAAAGTGCGACGGGGCAATCGTCAACGGTGGCACCCAGTCGGCACTGAGCACAATATCCGCATCACTGTAGATTTTTTTGGCTGGGATCGGAGCCACGACCGGGACACCTGGCTGGGCCGCAGATCCAGCTCCCGCTGCTGCAGCACCAGCACCCGATGGCAGTGAGTTGGGATCCCGAATGTCAATTCCGGAATCGTGACAGGATTGTTTCACTAGCTGACCACCATCATCATCCGCTCCGGCACCGACTGCACCACCGACGATGGCCGCTGGAGCCGTTACGCTGGAAGCGGCCGTTGTACCGCTTCCGGTGCTGGTGGCTTCCTCGTCGTCCAGCGATCTTTGAGATAGGGTTTTATTGCAATAACATTTTATTCTGGGACGGTGCACCGATACACGGACGACGGACACAGACGACACGGTGACACAAACATAAGAGGTGAGTGAAATTTTCAAATCGATCGATCGGAATGCCAATTTACAAACCCCATGCGGTTAGTTTTCCATGGCTTTGCAAGCCGATTAGTCGGGTTTAGTTAGATTGTTTAGTTTGGAAAAGTATTTAAAAATTTCACTTGGCAGGGTGCAGGATAGCTGAGATGATGAAGGGTATTTAGATTCAAGTTGAATGAAACAGCCTTTTAGGGCAAACTCAATGGACATCTACAATGAAAGATATTTATCGAGAAATTGAAATACACTCAGAGAGGTTCTGAGGAATCGTGAGTCAGCAGTGCAGATGTTATAATGCTCTGCCGGACAAGTTTGTTTTACCAGATAATTGGTTGGGATTCTGAATGCACTAACAGTGCAAGAGATCTTCTGGATGAACTTTAGCTAAGGAGAAAATATATCCAAATATGTAACGGTTGTAAGAAATTCAAATCATACTTCTGAGAACACATAAAGCATTTTCACAAAGATTATAGCGGATCATCACTGAATAGTTCAAATCAAAGTATGCAGGCTTCTTAAGTGACGTCTAGTGGTGAAATCTACTAAAAATCTAACGGTTTCTCAACTTCCTAAAATGTCATATTTGTCCTAAACAATAATTGACCAACAAGTGATTTGAGTAAATCAAACCTACATTAGTTCTGATTCAAATTACAATATTTGGCATTCAGGGTGAAGTTAAGAGGGCTTACAGAAGATATAAAAAAAAAAAAAACATCTGTAGGCAAAGTTAAGCGGACCAAAGGAAGACTAGTTAATTTCAGCGTACGATCAGAACTTCCTTAAAAATCATCCCTTTTGTGTCCGGGAGTCCTTTGAATGTTTCCTTGAAGACTTATGAACTGCCTCCCAGAATTCTCCATACTAGGATTTCTGTCTTGGGTTTGTAAAAGTGACTTATTTTTAAAACAAAAGCTATTTTTATTGAACCACCAGGGAATTAATTTCCACTAAGTTCACCAAATTCTATGGAAGCTTTTGCGATTTAGAGAGGTTAAAAAAAGCATGCTAAATATACATTCTTTCCGTAAAAATTCTAAACCGAACATTCCCGGGAAATTACCTCTGTGAAGAACTTTAAATAATTTAAAATAAATTTCGAATGGATCCTGATGGCATCTTTTTGGAAAGGTTTGAAAGAGCTTGCAAAGTAGTCAGAAAAAACTTCCGGAGAAAGTTAGAAGAAACTTCCAGAGGAAGCTGATAGGCTCCCGACATCCAAGAAGGTATAAATTTAAGGGGAAAGTCGGCAGATATTTCCGGGGCATGTCAGCAGGACCTCTGGGGAACTCGGAAGGAACTTTCAAGATAAATCGATAGAATCTCGATAAATCGAGATAATGTCTAGAAAAGCCAGAATTAACTTCCAGGAAGAATATGCTGGACTTCTTCTTCCGGTGGAAGTCGTAAAAAACAGCCTAAGAAAACTGGAACAAGCTTACGCGGAAAGATAGAAGAAAGTTTAGGTTAACATTCCAAATTTCCACGGGTGGTCAAAGGATTCTTTTAGGGGAATATAGAAAATAAACTATCAGGATCAGTCTAAAGTTAAAAAAAAAAACTTACGAGCGCTGTTGAAGAATCTTTCAAAGCAAATCAGAAGAAACTTCCCGAGGTACTTCGAAGAAAGTCAGAAGAAATCGGGGAAATTTGGAAAGAAAAAGTTTCTGGAGAAGTCGGATGACATTTCCTGGAGTAGTTGGACATCTGGAACAAGTTAAGTTCCAGAGAAGACAAATTTGGGAGGATTTTGAGGAGAATTGAATAGTTCTTCCAGGGTGAATCAAAATATATTTGTACTCACTGGCGTACCTAATGGGAATCTCAAGAGATCCAGGCCTCCCCAGTATTGAGCAGCTCTCCCCCTCCTTCAGATTATTTAGAGTTTTTGCTCAATTTTTGCTCAGTTTACGTTTCTCAGCATGCATTTCAGCATGTTTTATCTAAAAAACGGAGTCCCACATCAAATTGCATCAGGGAAAAAACGCTGTAGAAAATAACCCATTCTCTTGAAAATTTGGGTAGAAGTAGTTTAGAGTGTATTGTTTACACTGTATTTTTATCGCTGTCAGTTTTTCGAAAGTTGGAAAAATGGCGTCACCCGAAAAGCAAGGTCGCGAAATGATTTTGCGCAAGCACCTGGAAAATCCTCAACTCTCTCATCGGAACATCGGAAAACAACTCGGAATCGTGCAGTCAAAGGTGAGTTGTGTGATTAAACTGGGCTGGGAAACTCTGGTCAGAATGGATGTTCTATTAGTGATCAGGATCACAAGCGTGTCGTGAAAGCCTTTAAGCGGCATCCTAATGCTTCGGTCAGGGAAGTGGCCAAAAAGTTGAATCTGTTCTGTTCAAGTCTTTCGTTCAGAGAGCCAAGGACCGGGAGGGACTGCATACGTACAAAGTGCAGAAGGCTCCAAATCGTGACGAACGGTAAAATACGGTGGGAAAGCCACGGGCCCGGAAACTGTACACCTAGATGCTGACGAAGCCTCATTATGTCAAGGCGGATTTCCGGAAGCTTCCGGGGCTACTGTTCTTCATCGCCCAGCACAAGTTTGATGTTCCGGAGGAAGTAAGAAAGCAGAAACTTTCAAAGTTTGCCACGAAATGCATGATTTGGCAAGCCATCTGCTCATGGCTGTGCGCCGTTCGTGACTACCGGGACTGTAAACGGGGAGATCTACCTCAAGAAGTGTCTGCAGAAGCGTCTGCTTCATCTGTTGAAGCAACACGAGGGCCCTACGTTCTTCTGGCCGGATCTAGCTTCGTGCCACTATTCAAATGTTGTCCTGGAGTGGTACGAAGCCAACGGGGTCAATTTCATACCCAAGGACATGAAACCCCCCCCCCCCTCGCAACGGAACTAAGGTCCATCGAAAAATACTGTGCTATTATGAAACAAGCACTACGGAAGCATCCCAAGGAGGTCAAATCTGACAAGACATGAAGAAAAGGTGCAGAAAAAGCTGCAGCCAGATGTTGTACAGAACCTAATGAGTGGAGTTAAGCATAAGGTGCGAGCGTACGGTAATAGTATTGAAGTTGAATGCAATAAATATGCCAAAAGCTTACTAATGGGTTATATTTTATTGTCTGAAAGTTTGAAAAGGGTCGGTCAACTAGGTAATTTTCTACAGCGTTTTTTTTCCCTGATGCAATTTGATGTGGGACACCCTTCATTTCCCCAGCCCTGTGGACTTTTCCTAGAAATCCTGATAACTTCTTTTAGAAGTTATGTGGACTTCTCCTGGCGGTTCTGTGAACTTTTCCCAGAGAACCTCTTCAAAAAACTCTCCTATGAACTTATTCTAGAAATCTTGTAGGCTTCTCATTGAAGACCTGTAGACATCTCCTGCATATCTTGTGGATTTATGCTAGCAGCTCTGTGAAATTCTCCTAGAAATCTTATGCACTTCCCTATAAGTCCCGTAGACTTCTGTTAGCAGTCTATGACCATCTTTTAGCAGTCCTGTGAACTTCTCTTAGAAGACCTTTTCTCTGATATGACCTCTCTTATGGATTTTTCTAGAAATTCTGTGGATTTCTGCTAGAAGACCAGCATACTCCAGGAGGCCTATAAACTTCTCCTAGCAATCCTGTGGATTTCTTCTGGAAGTCTTGTGAACTTCTCTTGGAAGACCTCTCCCATGGACTTCTTCTAGAAATCATGTAGACTACGCATAAAAGACCTGTAGACTTTTACTAGTGTCCTGTAGACATTTTATAGAAATCTTGTTAACTTCCATAGAAGTCCTGTTGATATCTCCTAGAAGATTTGTTGATTTATACTAGTAGCTTTGAGGAATTCTCCTAAAAATATTGTGAACTTTTTATTCGTCTCTCTTGAGGAATTCTCCTATAAATCCTGCGAACTTCTCCTAAAAGACCTGAAGATTTCTACTAGAAGCCCTGTGTATTTCTACTAGAAATCCGGATAAATTATCTTAGAAGTTTTATGGACTTCTCCTAGCGGCCCTGAATACTTCTCTTGGAAAACCTCTTCAACTAGAAAAACTCTCATATGGATTTCTTGAAGAAATAATAGTAGACCTCTCCTTGAAGACCTGTAGACATCTCCTAAAAATCATGTGGACTTCTCCTAGAAATCTTATTAACGTCTCTAGAAGTCCTGTCAATTTCTCTTAGCTATGCCCATCTTTGACTATCTATGAGCAGTCCTATGGACTTATCTTAGAGGCCCTCTTTACTTATAGGACCTATCCTATGGACTTCTTCTAGAAACCCTGTAGATGTCTGCTAAAAGATCTACCAGCGTTTCCTAGAAGGCCTGTGGATTTTTCCTAGAAGTAATGTGCACTTCTTCTAGAAATCCTACGAACTCCTCCTTAAAACGTGGAGACTTCTCCTAGAAGCCCTGAAGATTTCTGAAATTAGTAATTTAGACCTTTCATTAAAATCCTCCAGACGTCCCCTGTGAGTTTTCATAATCTTCATATGCAAACCTGAATCAACCACCGACTGAAAGTCTCTACAATAAAACAAAATAGTTTCTCGAGCCTCGTCAGATAATTAACTAAAATTTCTCTAAAGTACCCGAGCAAAAACCAGCATCAAAATAACATCAAATTGAAATCAAATTTTAATATGAACATCAAACTGAAATCATGATTTGATTTCAGTTTACACAATTGACAAATTGGATAGCAAATTTTGTTTTCATTTTCCTATGCTCTAAAATGTATTGCTGCAGTTTTGTTTTCATTGCCTTAGCAGAACATCAAATTGAATACTCGTTTTGTTATTAACAGGAAAAATGTACATCAAGCTATGTTTTCAGTTTGCTCTCACTGGTAGCAGAATCAGTTTTCAATGTGATGTCACCGGAAGATTTGTTTGCTTTAAACTTTGATATTTTAACCGTTAAAGCGACCAACACGTCAGCCATCTGAATAATCATTATCAGCTACACTGCCCTGTGCGGCATAACAGTCCCATTAGCATTTTTGGCGATTATGAGTTATACATTGGAATCGATTGTCAAGTACCATCACTTTACAATGTACACGAAAAAAATCCTACTTTGTTCAGAAAATGTCGCGAAAAATAACAAAACTATGTTGTCCCATCCATAAGAGCCCATGGAGAAAAAAAATCTTCAACAGCGTTTTTCTCAGCTTGCTGTTTTAACGAATGGGACAACTATGCTGAAAAGGGCAGTACATTACAACATCAATTTTATTTTTCAATTTGATCTCAGACTTTGCTCGGGTAGGAAGCCATAGGCAGTGCCCAGAATGCTTCCAAAACGAAACTAAGATCTTTAGATGTTTTTTCAGAAAAGACGACTTCTTCTTGCTCCGAATTTTTCTTAGGATTCTAAACAATTTCCCCCAGGATGAACTTAAGCCTAAACTTTCAAGGCAAGCTTCAGGATTTGCTTACTCTATGAGAAAGATTTTTGGCTTTGTTTTTGGAAAAAATCACTTAATCAACAATCAATCCCTCAATCATCCCAGCTATCGACAAAAACAGGGAAAAAGCGCCATCTCACTGAAGAAAAAAAACAACAACCCCGCTCCCGCCAACTCACCTATCCTTGCTGGGAATGGCCCAGTGCTGATCGAGCAGACTGCGCCTCCGTTCCTCCAGGGAGCGAACCGTAGGATCCTCCAGAATACTGCTGCTGGTCTTGCTGTCAGTCTTATCGCCACTCTTGCTGGCGGCGCCGCTCGGTGGCTCCTGTCCACCGGTGCTGTTGTCCAGCGAGTTCGGCGTCTGTGACTGCGAATCTCGATCGTAACCCAGAAAGGGTGGCTCCGCTGATGGAGGCTTCTCCGAACTGCCACCGCTCTCGGTAGAATCGCCGTGCAAGCGCTGCAGGTTGTTTGGCGTGACTAGATCACGTTCGAAGGCCTTCGGGAAAGCGTCCCCTTCGCGTTCGTTGCTCGAACAGATGCTCTCCTGATCATCACAACCTTCGACCGAGCCAACACCCAGCTCCGGGAACGTTTCGTCCTTCACCAAGAGGGAGTCCTTGCCGGGTGAATGGGTGTCGCAGCGCGAACAGGACTTCTCCGGCACCGGATAGTAGATTTCGGCCTTTTCGGCAGTTTCGTTACCCCCGGTCGAACCTTGCACGCGCATATGGGCAATGTCGTTGAAAATGGCGGCATTTACAATGTACTCCATTGGCGCAATGACGCCATAACTTTCGGGACCATGCTCGATGACTAGCGGATCGGACACGTTCGGATCGAACATGACCGCATTGGGGGTGACCAGAAGGACACCACCGACCACACCCTGCCCATCGGTAATGTGCCGCACATTGATCTTGAGAAAGCGTTGGATAGTAACGGGGTCATCCTCGTTGAAACCTGCCGCCGTGTCTCCTCCGCCACCCCCGCCGCTTTGGTTGTTCGGCGAGGCAACGCGCTCAATGTGGCCAGGCTTCGGCGAACCGGGGCGTAGTCCTTCCAACAGATCTACAAAGAAACAAAGCAATTTTCTGTTATTAGTCTCGGGATGGCAAAGCAACAGCCGCAGCGCCGAAAGCCTAAAGAATGGATCGTTCATAATTTCGAAGGTAAACAAGCGTTCGCGTGATAATCATCATCGTCGTCCCGTGTTTGGACAGACGGTGTCACAAATGGAAAACGAGTTGTGCGATCGACGAGCCGAACCACGGAAGCTAACCTGTTAGTTTGCTCCGTAGAAATGATACCCCGGACCATAAGGGATCGTCGGGAGAATCGCTGGATCGATCTGTTGACATGGAATACGGTTCGAATCTCTGTTGGCACAAACAAAATTGTAACAGCTGATGATCTCTTATCACGCAGCATCCACAGAGCTACTGCTGAATGACGAACGAGGTAAAAACGGCAAAGCCACACACGCGGCACTCTGATGACTACTATTAGTGCACCGACGACGACGATGACGCCGGCGGCTACCAATGCGCAGTGGGCCAGGAATTAAATCTAGCAGGAAAAAAAAATAATCACGCTCTGGTATTACATCCAATTGAATAGTTTCTTGGATTAGATAGTACTACCATTTGGTGGATAAAAATAGTTTAAGTTTTGGCCGCAAAAAGGGCGCAGCGATACAAACGACAAAACGGGAACTGATTTTATCCACCAAACTGTAGTCCTAATTAATCCAAGAAACTTCACTGAGGAGGTCAACTCAATTGACGTTAATATTTGTTAAATGCTAGATTTAGTTACTGGCCCACTGTGCAAAGTACAAACCTGTGATCTTATCACCCGGTTGTATACGCTGGTTAGTTGTAGATGTGTAACACATATGGTTGAACCGTTTGGGCGTTCTGTTGGGTGTTCTTACCAACCAGCGTATGGTGTTGAGTTGGGTGTGTTGTTTGTTGTAGCGTTGCGGTCGTTGTTGTCGTATTATTATTAGCATTTATTGACTTTCTCTTCTGCCATCTGTGGACTGGTGGTGGTGTGTAGTTCATACTGCATCGGCTTATTTTCTTGTTTTCTACTTTGGATGTCAATGAGATATATTTGCCAGTCAAATTTGAAGAATCTTCAGTATTATTTTGACAGAGATGCATATTTTAAAGGATCACAGCTTCCGCGCAGAGGAAGACTACACTGAGGCAAACATTCTTAGGAATTTCGTGTGACATAACTCATGAACCAGGACAATTTTAATTTCATAAGATACTTGTGAGTTCCATAGGCATGAGTTATGCATTCCATAAGCACGACTTATGAATGATTATCATAATACAGCCATTCCATAGCAAAACAATATAGTGGTTCTCAGAATTTAGTAAAAAAAAATAATTTTGTTCCTTTTCGCAAAATATTAGACCCGTATTATTTTTTTTTCGTTATGGTCATCCAAAATATCGATTTATTCAAAAAGGACTTTTTTTTAATTCATAACTCTTGAACCACTAGGCCGATTTTGTATTGAAACAAATTGGTGTGGTTGTGTACAAGACACGACCGCATGGTTGACGTAGACTACGTTAAGCGGTTTAGTGCAATTTTCGTGCACTCTAGATATTGATTTAAAATACAGTAGAAGTAAGCGTTGATTTCGGTCCTATGTACATATTATGGATTTCCTACTAAGTAAAACTTGGTTGAATTCAGGACCTCATAAAAAGCGAATATATATTATATTGCATTTGGTTCCTAAATTACAATCAAATATGAGTAAGGCTTTCTTCAGGTAACAATGACTTCAAGATTTCTAGTGCACTAATCTTGGACGGTTGTGACATCACTCATGAAATTGAAACTAATTGTGTACTGCACTGCAGCAAATGTGGAGTTCCAGTTTCTTTGTTATAAGTTTTGTGAGAGCTGATATTTGTGCCATTGAAATTTTTATGTGGTACTGGTACTTGATTAGAAATAAGGTTCCAGCGATTCAACTTCAAAACGCTAAAAAAATACACACACAAAAACGGAACGCACAATTTTGCATCAATGTTATACAACATTTCGGGAATATCTCGATTAGCCATAAATCCCTCAAATAAGTTCTCGGTACATCTTTTATCTACCGATGGATCACATTTTTTATAAATATTGCTGTTTCTTAAATATTTCGTTAGCGTTTTGTAGACGCACATGCATCATTTGGCATAAGAACACTGGGCGTTTCTGTGGTGGGAAAATGGTGACTTCCATATCTATCACAGATTATACATTCGACAGTGAGCATGCATAAGGGCGTAACTGCGATGATGGATTCTCTCTTATGTTAATAACTCACTTGGATTAACACATATCGGTGCGTTTACTGTTGCCTTTGACAGACAATACCTGTTACAGGTTACAGCACTACATTGAACATATTTCAGATAATATTCAAGCTGAACATTACATTAGGTCCTAAGTATAACATTGATCGATTCTCTTCGTCGACTTTCAGAGCAGAGCAGTGAGAGCAAACTGAAAACTAAATTTGATATCCATTTTTCCTGTAGATAACAAAACAAGTATTCAATTTGAAGTTATGCTAAGGCAATGAAAACAAACCCACAACAACATATTTTTGAAGAGCAAATGTACAGCAAAATGAAAACAAAATTTGGTATCAAATTTGTCAATTGCGTAAACTGAAATTAAATTATGATTTCATTTTGATGTTGATATCAAAACTTGATTTCAATTTGCTGTCATTTTGATGCTGGACTTTGCTCGGGTCTTTCGTTAATAACTTGAGCACATAACCGTTTCTTGTTGTGTTTTTCGTATTAAATGCTAGATAAAAGCTTCTTTTATCGATCTGTGTGCTGAAAATACCTTCTGCTTCTTCTTATTTTTATTCGCATTTGAAGCTTATTGCTTAGTGTACATATTATTTTATTGTGTCTTTAAATTAGTGTTCTAAATGCACTTCCAAAAAATATTAATTGAGAGCTTTCGATGCCAATACCAATACATGAATTTGTATATTGTGTAGCAAGCACAATGATACTCTATGCCCATAGAAGGCGAGAAAATTTCCAACCCAAAAGATTCCCTTGACCGGACCTGGAATCGAACCCGCCGCCTCCGGCTTGGTAATACCTAGCCTTTGAGGCCCCCTGGCTGAAAATACCTGGAAATGTCTTTACAAGAAGAAAGTCGACGAAGAGAATCGGCCAATGTTACTTAGGACATAATGCAAAGTTCAGCTTGAATTATTTTGCTTAGCTATAGCAATGTAAAGAGAAAATCGATCATTGCAAGTGGTTAGAGATGAACCAGCCTAAGGCTGAAAGTCTCGTTAATAAAGGAAAAAAAAAAAAGATCATTGCAAGTCGGCCCTTTTCAACGCTCACTGTCGAATTTCAGTACCTAGCCCTGCAAAACAACCTGACGATACCTCTACACGCAAACCAAAAATCTATTACAATGAATGTTAGTTCCGTTTCCTATCATCCTCTGTTCATGAACATCGCAGCGAATGTTAGAAGTTGACCTTACAGGCGATTGTAGAGTTGGTTCGATCGGGAGTTCAGCTACCCTGCTGCCGTTCACTACGCTGATCGGGATTCAAGTGCCCCAGTCGTTTGTCTCGTCGTTTGTTCGCGCGTTTTCACAACTAGCAAGCCGATCTTACTCACACAGTAACACAGACCATTGGTGAATCGGCCTTTTCGGGGTAGGTGGATTCTACAAATAAACACTGGTCCTAATTGTCACTATTAAATAGTTTGAACTCTACATCTTTCTTCTTCTCCGAGAAAAATATACGGCAGATATTTGTAAAACTGATTTTATTTCTCTTACTGAGTCATGTGGGAAATAAATTAAAAAAAAAGCAAAGGCACCCCTACACGTATCTTGCTGGAACCTTCTTTTCTCGAACTGGACGTTTCAATGAGTGTTCTTGTTCATGGCTTTGCTTGTCAACTTGCTTCCGCTTCATTGTCTGGGTTCGTGGTACCTCCATATCTGGATCATCGCATTCTTGAGATTCGTTATCTGGTTCCGGCGTTGGATCCCTTGAAGCATCGTTTTCAATGGGCATCGGAAATTTCCGCAAATGTTTTACCGATCGACGATACCTAACACCTTCTTTGTTGGCAACGATAGTATCACTCCCATTTTTCTTCAAAACAGTAAATTTCTCTAGTCGAAACTTTGGTTGGAGCTTCCCTGTTTCGTAGTTCCGAAGCATCACGGAATCACCTACTTCTATATCAGGCGGTTTAGCCTGCCTGCGTCCATCCGCGTAATGCTTCCCTTGCATCTTTTTCATAGCATCTTTTTCTCGTACCTCAACATCTCGGCGCCAGTGTGGGTCCGTTCTCAAAGAAGGCAGAAGATCCTTAACCGGACGTCCGGTCAATAATTCCAACAGAGCTTTCTCTGTTACAGAGTGTGGTGTAGTATTGTACATGTATACGTAGTCTTGAACCGATTTCCACCAATCGCAATTGGTAGCCTTCGCAATACACAACGCTCGCAGAATCCCTTGGTTTTGCCTCTCTACTAACCCGTTCATTTGTGGCCAATAGGGGATGGTACGTACCAGCCTTATGTTCCTGCTCTCGCAATATGCTGCAAACTCTTCGCTTGCAATCGGTGGGCGATTATCGCTGCGGACAGTTTCCGGATAAGTTTGTTGCTCACGAAAAATTCCTTCCAATGCTTCAATCGTCTTAGCAGCGTTCGTGGTCTTCATTTCAATTACCTTTAAAAACCGGCTGTAATAATCGACGATCACCAAGAACGTGGCACAGTCTTTGGCAGAGAAAAAGTCAATACCAATTTCCTGCCATGATCGTTCTGGCATCTCTTTGCGCATCATTGGCTCAGGTGGATGTTGCTTGCTGACGGTGGCGCATCCAGCACATTCTTGTACTGCATTGGTCACGTCCCGGTCCATGCATGGCCACCAAATTTTCTCTCTTAAATTCCTTCGCATCGCAACCACTCCCGGATGGCCTCGGTGTGCAATTTGCAATGCTCTCTGACGTAGCTTCGCTGGAAGAACAATCCTGTCA